TTAGACATGTTTTTTATTATTGTCATTAGTGATTATTTCAATTTCGGCTAAAAGAACTGACAAAATCCTACACACTGTGCTTTTAACATTAATTTCAAGCTTGTTCTTGTTTTTAGATTAGGTCTGTTTAATTTTACTCTCTTTTGTCAACACAATGCTTTGTGATTTTTGTGTAATTGATGYTTTGCATTTGTGTCCCTCCTGTAAATGAGACGACCAGTCTTTAAAAAATTATCTGTAGTGATTTTTCGTTTCCTTGTGCGTGTCACAGARAAGTCCAAGTCCTTTGCTTGAGTTTTGAACATGTTTGAAAAATCAATGTCACAAAGTTTTCCTAAACCTGTCAAARACGTGCAGAGTTGGGAAATAATTTTATCGTGTATGGGCAGAAAAACCTTTTGCCGCTTATTATTTGGCACTTGGTGATTAATACGAGTGCTGCCAGGCCGGTAGTCTGCTCGGCACTCCTCTTCTCTTTCATCTTCTAAACCTAATAATGGATCACATAGTTCCTCGTCACAGTCCTCASTCTGTCTTAGGCTGTTTTTTCCTCCATCTCTACCTTTGAGCGTTCCTCTTCTGTCTGAACAGGTTCTGATTGCAGCTCCGTCAATCTGTGTCCGGAGCTCCACCTCWATCAGCTGTAGCTCCACCTTGTTTTAATTCAAACMCGCTAAAACAGACCAACACTAATACACCCTCTCTGGGGGGAGGACCAGGGAGGATGATTCAACCACTCAACCACTAGATGTCGCTGAAAACAACAAATCCTACACACTGTGCCTTTTAAAAAAATTAAAGGTATTTAAAATGTCCCAGTGGGATCAAAGTGGATGGTTTCAGTTCTTGCTGCAGTGAATTYCAGGAAGATGGAGCAGAATAGAAGTGAATATCACAAGACATTCTGGAGACTTTGCTGTAAATGTCGTTTGTCAACTAGYTGATGTTAACTCTGTGGGACAGTATTTTCTGAGTGTTGTCATTAATGACTTGAGGGAAGCAGGACTGCTCCAGTTTAACATAAATCAGGTTGTAGAAATGTGATCCTCATCCTCTCTGGCTCAGTGTTAACTTTGCTGTCAAACGGTTGTTGCCGGCTTCATTGGTGTGAGCGCACATTGTCACAGGCAGCAGCAGAGTTCAGACACAATAAACGAATAGAAAAATAAAGTGGACGTCACATAGTAAACTGCAGCAAATGGTTCCAAAGATGAACAGTTCCAGTGTGAATCTCAAAGGTTTTACTTAACTACACACCTGACCAGTAAAATGAACTTTTTAAGGGATGGGTTGACAGAATCTCTCTGTGCATGAATGTACCTGACACTCATTGTCCATGTCTGTGTTTAGGTGGGATTCCAGGAGACCACCTCATCGCTCCAGTATCAGACCAYGCTGCCTCCAGCCCCATGCACCTCAGGCTTGGGCAGAAAGAAAAGCTGTGGACAGGAGAATACATAGAACAGGAGGACCAGGAGGAGACGGGTGGGATTGCTCCAATTGGTGATGAGGAAGAGGTAAACAATTTATATTCCGATGAYCTGGGAGGTTTTGAGAGCAAAGGCTGGGAAAACAACGGAGAGGACGGAGATGATGAGGTGGAAGAGGAAGAGGAAGAGGACCAAGARAAGGTGGAGTGGGTGGAACCAGAATTCTTCTCCCAGTCCACCAATCACCATCCTTCACAGCAGGAGCAACATCAGGAAGCACAGCAGACAGCAGAAACACCTGGTGAGGCATCTGTCAGAAATCTTGTGTCCCAGGCTGAAGGAAGGAACTTGTTCCAGTCCTACTTCAGCAGCTACAGAGCTGTGAGAAGGCTCAGACGCTTAAGGCGTCTTCGATCCCGCTTTCTTCCTGGATTTCAACTCGCCCAACACTGGAAGAGCTGGCGCCAGAAGGCTCGGTGGATGTTTCCAGAAGGGCACCATTGGAACCGAAGAGGGCAAAAGTACAAACTGTATGGCAAACCAAGGAGGACAAAAAGGTTTTCCTCATCAGTTTACAGTGATGAAGAGGGTGATGGCCGAGAGGAGCAGTTCAAAGGAGCTTCCAGAGGTAGAGCTGTGCAAACTTCTAACCTTCCTTCCCTTGGGTTTTAGCCCAGATTTTCTCTTCTTTATAAAGAGAGCTCAAAATTTATCAATGTTTTAGACAATCTTTGGTTTGAACAAAAGCAGTGTCTTGKGTTACTTTTGTGCTACACTATGACAGTCTGCTTGTTTGTCCAAATCAGTTCTGTTAAGTCATTTCAACCAGTCACTGCATCACAGTTGGTCACCCTCACACCTTCACAAAGCTCCTAGTTAAAGCTCAGAAAGTTCTATATAAATTGTTTCAAAACTAGAGTTTCTCAGTTTCTGCAGTGGACACACACACACACACACACACACACAGAAAATTACCTGCTTTTAAAAGGTTTGCTGTCAAACATCTTTGTTTAAAAACAAAACATGCACTCAGCATTGTTTCATTTCTACTGACCACAATTAAACATTTTAGAAACTTTTTTTTKRARRAAAAAACATGAATTAACACATAAGAGTATAAAGCATACCAAAGACAGAGTATAGATGTGAACATTTCCACCTGTCGTTTAGACACACCATGATACAACTGAGGGAAACTGAGACCTTGCCTTTTTTTCTAAATTTCTACATCTTGTGAAATTAATTGTCTGTCATTAACTTTCATTTTCTGTTTGTCAGATAAGCAGATCAACGGCCCTTTTTCAGACAAGAAGGAAGAAAGAGGAAGACAAGAAGTGGCTTTCAAACCAGTGGAAGTGGCCCTTAGTGAGGAGCATACAAGTTGTGTGAATGGTATGGACCCAGCTTTTGCTCACAGTCCATCAAGCACATTCAGATGTCTGTACAAGTTTTTATCACTGTTACAAAGTACATCAATAAATTAATTGAACTGCCCTCAAAGTCATACACCCACCTATCCACCATACATCCACCACTATAGATGCAGCCAGTAATCAGGCTGACTGGCTGGAATTGGCCAGTCAGTGRTTTGTCACATCAGACATATCTCTGCCTCCTTAACAAGGTTTTTACTAAGTGGAGAAAACAGGAAGTTGGGTATATGGACTGTCTGGAATTGGCCTGGTACTAAGTACGGGGGGTGTTTAGTCAGCCACAAATTGTGCAAGTTGTCCCACTCAAAAAGATGAGACAGGCCTGTAACTGACACACAGAACGTTAAACTTCTGCTGCTGGTCCTCCACAGCTCTGCAGCAAAACRCACCCACACAAGTGTTTCTCCCTAAATTCCCCACCAGAGGGCRCACTGCGAAGGCTGAAACATCCTGAAAGTCAGTCTGAAATGAGTGGTGGCTCTTAATGAGATGACTAGTTTTTTATGCTTTTTAATCTYAAAAACTCATGATGATTTTATACATGAATAAATACGGTAAGTATAAAGTGCTTTGGAATCGGTAGGGATATGATACAGCGCAATACAAGTTTAAGTCATTTCATAGTCAGTGTGTTTCAAATCCCTCTAGCGCAGCTGAAACACTTGTTTCTTGAGTTATTATTGTAATGTGAATATTTCAAAGATAGGTTGTTTATTCTTTTGTTTGCTGCTGCCTTACAGGTATTCTTGAAGAGTCTCTACAGCAGTACGGCAGTTTGATCCCCATCCACGTTGATGACATTGTAGAGAAGCTCCAGGAGATTTTCAGTGAGAAATTTTCACATCCTCACAGGTCAGACCCTCTGGATTTTTCTCAGTCTCTCATTTTTGACAACAGTTTTGTGAACTGGCTGCACAGGTCAGTCCATCTCTAACCTCCCTCTGAGGGATACCTGGGTACAAGCTTTCATCAGTGTGTGATCAGGAGGCATGGAGTAGCAGCAGAACTCAGCTGAAGTGGAGCGCAGCACATTAAATGTGTGTCTGACCTGGTCTTCATATCATAATTTGAAATGTGTGGGGAAACCCTGGAAGATCCAAAAGCCCACATTACACTGCATGACTGTTACTTTCTGTAAACTATCACTTTTTAGAACAAAGGTGGATTTCTTTAAAACTTTAAAAACTTTTTTTCTATGATAATCATAATGCTGTAAATTCATCAGATMTGGTGCTGTGAAAACCTTGTATTTTGTCATACTTAAAGATTTCAAATCAGCAGGCAAAGATGATGTGAGTAAATCTAAAGTTCTGTTTTTGAATGACTTCATTTATTAAGAGACAGAAGCTATTCATGCCAAGACATTTTGGTGTGATAAGTAATCTTCTGTCCCGGGTGAAGCTGAGACAAAAAGTAAACATAAGCCCTATTCTGATGGGATTAGTTTTACCTAGGGACCCCGTGTAATAAATAAATTACCTCCAACGTCTGTGTTTTATGTGGCGCATTCGCACGGGATAACCAAAGCCTGAGATTTTCCTGAAATTTACAGACATTTCCTGAATGTGATATTGAAGCCTGGCTAATTGTTGTCTATTTAGTTGAACACGGCGTTGAACGGACGTTTAAAAAAAAAAACAATAAACATCAAGTTCTCCACTTTTTCCGCTCTCCTCTCCTCCTGCTTACAGCAGGCACTGTCATCTCCACGGCTGACAGACCCTCACCCCATCCCCACGCGCAGGTACGAGTGGTACGGATTTTTAGCAAGAGTTATAGATTTTTGATGCTCATTAGGTAAACGTCCAAAGGGGTTGACATATGAACACCTTCACAGCTGGCGAGAGTGCGCGCGCGCCAGCTACACAAAGCGCGAGCCTGCACTGCACTACGGCCACTGCTCCACACTCAGCATCAGCCAGAAGGCTACAAACAGAAGAAAAAAAACATATTCTTACCATACAGTGAGCCACCATTTTCATCTGATTTTGCTCCCACTCTTCAGATTTTTGTTTTAATTGCGCACGCTATGTGTCGGGTTTTTCAGGCCCGGGACCGAAAAGGTTTTCAGTGCACTCCAATCCAGCCTCCATTCTTCACCAAAAGTAAATAAAAATGCACCAAGAAAACCAAAACCGCCTAATTACACATGAGATTCAGTCCATTCCTGTCCAAATCACAGAGATGCCTATTCGCATTAGATTAGTAATATCACAGGACCTCAGAGTTCAGCAAATTATGGTAGGTAATTTGCGGGGGAATTTTAACTTTACAAATTACTGACATGGCCGATTCTCACGGGCTTAACAACACAGACAATCTCTKTAATTATTACAAATAGCATGGGGTCCCCAGGTAAAACGAATCCCATCAGAATAGGGCTATAGTCTTCAAGGACAAATCCAAGACCAAAACCACTACTGAGCAAAAACACCAGGCCCGTTTCACAGTCACCAACACATATCTGGATTGTTGCTAAAGAGTCTGGGAATGTACTTTGTGAACTGATTGCATGTTTTGACCCATTTACAAAAACATAAATTTGATGGATATTCATTCTGTATATAACATATTATAAACTTATACAGTTTTTTGACAAACTAAAGTAAACTTCACCTTTTTAAAAGTGTAGAAAAGATTTTGAAGATGATTCAAGATTTAACCAGAAGCCAAAATAAAATTTATGGAGGCTGAGTTTGAAATGTTTGAAATCTCACTGCCCTGCTGTGCTGTCAGAGAGTACCGGTAAATGGATTGTGCTGAAATGTGTTAAAGGAACATATAATTGAATATGTGAAAACTAAGGATTAATTCATCCCAAAACACCAATGTACTTTTTATTTTGTTCTTTCTCAGGAAATCAATGGTCCAACATCTCATGCAGTCCTTCCAGCGTTCATCAGGATCGGCCGTAGCCAAAACATTCAGAGTCAACTACAAGCGCCATGTTTTGACCATGGATGACCTTGGCACTTTGTATGGACAGAACTGGCTTAATGACCAGGTACAGCAATGCAAACAAGACACTTTCATTCTAGCATACAGATTTTTTAAATTGTTTTATTTATTTTAGAAACACCCAGAAGGAACAGTTCATTTTGGATGTAATTTGTTCCATTTGCAAAGCATGTTTGGATTTAAAAATGAATCRGGTTGAAAGCAGGTGACATCTTCAATGAGTTCAAGTGGTAGTATCCCTTATGGAGTGTTGGCCTTGTAAAATAGTTCTGGAGTTTGCTTKAGGCTGGATGGTTGTACAGTTAAACACCCTCAGGGCTAAACATAAAGTAAAACTGAAACTGAACTTAAATCAGTGCAAACTGTTTATGGGCTCTCAACACCCACMTATTCTGATCATCAGCCAGATATTTCAACACTTCATCAGCCAATACAATTCACTCTGGCACAAATTTAAAAGCTATTTATTCAACTCTCATTAGACAGTGACTTTGAGCTAGGGCTGCTTGATTACAGACAAATAATCCAACTCTTGGTTAACAAAATAATCACGATTATTGAAAACAATTTGAGTTTTCAAATGTTGTTTTTTCAGCTTAAAGAACAGTATACTGTCCTAAACGTGAAATTTTCCCTGATGCTGCCTTTTCTATGTTGGTATTTTGGACACATTTCACCTAAACTGCTCTAGCTTTATTATTTATTTATTAGAGCAGAATTTCTGGTTCACTGCTCTGTCTTCTCTGGAGATTTGCTCATGATAAATGTGACCCATCACATCCAAATGAGGATTAAGTCCAAAAGTGGAAAAAGAGGCAAATTATAAGGTTTTGATTTAAATGTGTGCAAAAATTGCATTTTGTCAAAATATAATGAATTAATACCTTATCAATGTATCATTTTAATGATACATTGACAAATTGTCTGAAATATAATCCTAAAAAATTTTTGAAGCATTTTTTGAGCAGTAGCAACAAA